GGGGGGGTGTCCAGGGCTTAACAGGAGCGAGTAGCCTCTGTCAAACCTCCCCCTTCCTTCCTCTTCCATCAGCTAGGATGGAAAAAGTGTAAAGGCTTTGTTTAACCTTTAAGATCATCAAAGAGGAAGCATGCTGTGCTGAAGCGACTCCTTGCAGTCTCAGGTCAAAAGGTGGAGTCAGTTTATCTGGTCTTCCAAGATCAGGGTGCTCATTAATTCAGTCCCTGCATTCTCAGGGGCCCTGCAGAACCCTGAGGCCCTGCTGCACTGGGAAGGGAGTTGCTGTAGGTCTGAACCCTAACACTTGGGAGGCCAAAGCAGGAGGAATGTGAGTTCAAGGCCAGCCTGGTCTACACAGAGAGGACCCCCCCTGCAAAAAAAAAACAAACAATCAAGCAAACAAAATGAAAGTTCCCAAAGCACAGTCAAATAAAGTTGAGAACTATCCATTAGAACATTGTCTAAAAAAATGTTAAATGTTTAGACAGACAAAAAGTGTGCTGACAGGCCTTAAAGGAGTTGAAATCTACTGCCTTCCAAACAATACAAGTTAGGAAAAGCTGTAGAGAGGGGAAAGCAAGAAGAGTAAATAGCTGGTTAGGAGAAAGGAGTGGGTCCACAGAGAAGCTGAGGCTGGAAGTAATGAGTCACATTAGCACCGTTCATGTCAGAAGATTAAACAGAAAAGCCACCAGTTTGGGTTCCAACATTCCTACAGTTGTCCTGGATGCAATTCCAAGTTACTCTTTCGTTTCTGACGTTTTACTTCTGAAAGTCTAAGAGAATGGAAACTCTGTAACTATCAGGAGTATGGCAGTGATGCACTGTCTTTACCGGCTTAGCTTGCTTTTGTCCTTGCTGCATTTCAAGTTAAAATTCCCAAACTTGGGTTCTAACATTCAAGTGGTTTTTCTGTGTCCTTGAGTCCATGCTACAATTACCACTGTTACTACAGACTGCCAAATGAGCTAAGAACGCTCTGCAACATTGTAGTTGAGAAGCCAAACTTCTAGTTAGAGAAAATCCCAGGACTGTTTCATCAGTGTCCCAAAGGCAACCTGAGCTTGCAGAAAACACCAATTCAGGGTCTTATCATCTAAGACACTGAGCTCTCCACTAGGTCATTGTGGATAGCCAAGTCCCCATTCAGTTTTTTCAAGCAAGAGGCAGACACTCCTGGGAGGGTGTTTTATTTTTAACTCTTTATAGATTGCTTTTATTTTAAGCAAAGTAATATATACTGTTAGTTGAATCATCCTGTCATACAAGATCTACTGAGACCAGAGTGGTTCTCTGCTCCTCCTCACCTTTTATTTTCTTTATTTCAAAGTCAACTTTCAATTCTTTTAGCCAAAGGAGGTGGAAAACAGTTCTCAAGACAAATCTAGCTAGGTGCTTATTATGGTAAACACAATTTTGTTAGAATCCAGGCATGGTTGCACACCCCTGTAATCCCAGCACTGGGGAGGCTGAGGCAAGAGGATTGCAAATTCAAGACAAATCTAGGCTGTACAGAGAGACTCTATGTCTTTAAAAAAAAGTTTGGAGCACTGTCCATGTCATCTATGGCCATTGTCACAGTACAAAGTCAGAACTGAAGAACTGCCAGAGATGACATGCCCTCAAGGCCTAACATATTTACTATCTGACTGCAGGACAGTTTACTGATCCCTGCACTTGAGCTGTAATTTTGGTATTTACCTCTATATTGCTAAATAACATGCTTATGTGAATACATCTTCTTCCCCTCCTGATTTGGGCAATATCTATTAACTACCCATATGCATTATAAAAATTGCTCTTTCCCAGGGCTTTGTGTGTGTACACACACACATAAATACTTCCTGTTCCTCCATTTTCCCCAATATTATTACATCATTTAAGTTAGATCAATATTCAGTGTCTACATTACCATGATTATATGCTATATAGAGTGTGCAATTATATTCACCTTGTACATCTTTTTGGTTTTCTTAGTGTTACTGTCAAAAGAAAACTAGAGTGCCTATAATATCACACAAGCAGATCTCAGAGCAAGAAATATTATTATGATAAAAGAGGCTATTTTATCATGGAAATGGGGCCATCTAATTAAGAAAACATGACTGCCTTAAAATAGTTATACATCACCGGGTGTGGTAGCACACACTTTTAATCCCAGCACTCGGGAGGCAGAGGCAGGCGGATCTCTGTGAGTTCAAGGCCAGCCTGGTCTACATAGTGAGTTCCAGGACAGCTGGGGCTACAGAGAGACCCTGTCTCAAAGAGACCAAAAAAAAAAAAAGAAAGAAAAAAGAAAAGTAGATTAGTGGTTGCCTAGGGTTAGAGGACCTGGGCAAAATGAAGTGTCTAATGGGTACATAATTTCCTTTTTGAATATAGAAAGTATTCTAAAATTGATTTTGGGAATGGGAGTACAAGTCTGAATATACACTATTGACTATGGTGGACTACATGGGAAATTACATCTCCAGTACAGGTGTTTTTGTGTTCTAAGGCTCACTAGCCAGAGAGACCTACGGATCTATTTCCATTTCCACAGGGTTGGGATTACAAATGCACCTCTGACTTTCTGTGTGTGACAGGGTCTCCCTCTGACCCCTGCTGGCCTGGAACTCTCTATGTAGACCAGTTTGGCCTAGAGATCTGCCTGCCTCTGCCTCCCGAGTGCTGGGATTAAAGGTGTGTGCCACCACGCCCAGCTACATAAATAATTTGATTGAACCTAGGGCATCAGGCCTTTCAGCTGTATCCCTTTCCCCTGGCTTTTTAAAAATTTACTTTCAGACAATGTTCTCCTAAGTTAACCAAGCTGGTCTTGAACTCAACCTGTAGCCAGGCAGGCCTCAAACTTCCAAAGCAGCCAAAGATGGCATTGAACTTGTGATCCTCTTGCATTTAGTTCCCAAGTGCTGGAACACAAGCATACACCATCATGTGCAGTATAAACATCTTATATTATACATACAGTGGTAAAGTAGGGTTTGGGGATATGTCTGTTTTGGATTCTAGAAGTCAAACTCAGGATTTCACACATACTAGGCAAATACTCTACTACTGAGCTACATCCCTCAAAGTGATATATTCTTACTTGAACGTAGACTGTGATAAAGATGTATCTTAGAGAGTTGGTGATTGCAGCTCGACAGGTAGAAGGCTTCCTAGCAAGGATGAAGGCCTGGGTTCAATTCCCAGCACCACCACCTACATTAGGCATCAGGTGAATGTCTGTAATCCCAGACCTGGAGAAGGCAGGAAGCTCAAAATTCAAGGTCATCCTTGGCTACATAGTGAGCTCAAGGCCAGTATGAGCTTCATGAAACCTTTCTCTCTCTTCTTCCCCCCCAACCCCCAAACCTATCAGGTATTTTAAATAACTCAGAAAAATAAGCATAGAAGTATGGTTAGTTACAAAGAAGGCTGGATGGATCATAAACTGAATTCTTATTTTGGTCTTTTTGAGACAGGGTCTCCCTGTGGCCAAGACTGGCCTGGATTCGCTATGGAGACCAGGCTGGCCTCAAACTCACAGAGATCCGCCTGCCTCTGCCTCCTGAGTGCTGGAAATAAATGCATATGCCATCATGCCTGGCCATAAACTGAATTCTAAGACCTTCTATGTTAATCCAAAACAAAGCAATGGGGTGGGTTAGTGAACAAAGAACAGGAGGGAAAACAGGAAACAAGCAATAACTATGATCACTTTAACAAAAATGTTTTAAACATGTAAATTAAGAGTTATCAGACTGGATAAAAAGTTAAGCTGGAGAGATGGCTCAGAGGTTAAGAGCACTGACTGCTCTTGCAGAGGACCTGGGTTCAGTTCCCAGGACCCACATGGTGGCTAACAACCATCCATAACTCCAGTTCCAGGGGAATTCAATGCCGTTTGGACATCCATGGGCATTGCATGACACAGGTGCACCTACTTACATGCAGGCAACATACTCATACATAAAATAAAAAATATTTTTTAGGGGCTGGAGAGATGGCTCAGCAGTTAAGAACACTGGTTGATCTTGCAGAAGACCAGGGTTCGAATCCCAGCACCCACATGGCAGCTAACAACTGTCTGTAACTCCAATTCCAGGTGATCTGACACTTCTGTCCTCTGCGGGCATTGCATGACATGGGTGCACTTACCTACATGCAGGCAATACACTCACACACATAAAAATAATAAAATATATTTTTTAATATTTTTAAAAGTTAGACAGCTATATGCTATCAAGAAATCCAATACAAATACAATACAAATATGTTAAAAGTGAAAAGATGGAAAAAGTTATATTGTGCTGACATTAACCAAAAGCAAGCTCGTTATACCAAAATAGACAAGAGCAATAAATAGAGGGTCACTTTTTTCTGTTGCAGTGCTGAGGTTGAAACCCAGGACTTTGAACATGCTAGGTTAGCATTCTGCAGCTGAAACATAATCTCAGCCCTCAGGTAACTTCCTACCGATCTAGGAGTTAATACAAGAGAGCACAACCCCAGATGTTTACATAACTAACTACCAAATATATGAAAAAAAAAATGACAGAATGGAAGCAATTATAGAGATATCAACAGCTTTCTTTTCGTAAATAAAATGGTCTCTTAAAAGTGCACTGACTAAAATGGGACAATGAAGGGTTGCACAGATGGAGCATGGCCAGAGGTTTTTTTTTGTTTTTTTTTTAAGCCAAATGTGGTGGTACACCTGTTATCCCAGCCCTTGGGAGGCTAAGGCAGGAGGATCTTGAGTTTCAGGTCAATCTGGACTACATGGCAAGATTGTCTTACAAAAGGTGGGAAAAAGGCTCAGCAGGTAAAGATACCTGGTGCCAAGCCTGATCTCCAGAGTACAATCCCCGGGATCCACAAGGTGGAAGGAAATGAGGGACTCCTGCAAGATGTCCTCTGACCTCCCAGACACACAGCCGAAAAATGAATAGATGAAATGTTTTTAAAATGGGGGAAAAACCAGATACCAACTTAATCCCAATATTCCCATGAACAGTGTGTTATAATTCCAATTATCAGATAGGTGGTAACACAGGCCTGTAGAGGATCTAGAGGACAGCCAACCAATTAGCAAGACCCTGCTGCAACCAAACAAATAAATCAGTTCTCGTTAAGCTATTATTATTACACTGAGCAGCTCAGAGCTAGGTTTAGCCGTTTTTGAAACTCGGGAGAGTTCACTAAAATTCAGATTGCTGGGCCCGCCCCAGATTCTCGGGCAGGGGTTGAGTCTGTGATTCTAAAAACATGGGCGGTACTGCGGGTCCAGGATTCCACGGGCCCCTGGGCTAGAGTCCAGTCTTTCCCAAGCAAAGCCTAACGGAGAAACTTCACTCCCACCAGCGCTCCGCGATCCCGGGAAGAGCCGGCTGCCAGACGCCGCGCGAGAGGTTGAGGGAAGCGTAGGTCTTACGTCACGTCCGCGTCCGCCACGTCCAGCGGAGACGGGAACAAGATGGCGGTCCCGGGCAGGCAGTGAGTGAGCCGGGAGTTAGGGTCAGGCTGGGGCGTGCGAAGCCGCGGCGACTGTCTTTAGGCCGAGCGGTTGGAGTTGTCCGGAAGTCAGGGGCTCTGTCGCCATGGGGGAGGCGGGGAGGCGAGGAACCCCGGGCTGCGTAGATGCCCGTGTCCCTACGCTTTTCCAGGATGCGAGCCCGAAGTTTGAGGGAGAAACTTGTGAGGATATAAAGGAAGTTAGGCTGAGGGGCAGAGAGCGAGACTTTTCTATTTTCCAAAAGCTCGGTCTGAGGCCCCTCAGTCTTGCTTCCTACCCCGCGCTTGAGTTTCTCCCCGGTTGGATGCTCTGAGGGGCGGAGAAGAGCCAGACCTGGCTGCCTTAGGGCCTTGTTCTGGGCAGGCGCTCAAGGCCGGATTCCCGCCTTCCCTCCTGGTTTTAGGAAGTGTTGAGAAGCCACAGAACAGGGTAGGCATAGAGGAAACAGGAGTTTATTCTACCGTAGAGACACGGACACTGATCGGACTTGGAGTTTACCTTGAGTGTGTGATCCTTTGGATGCCGCCTCCCGTGCTCACCGCATTTAAAGGCCCAGATGGGGGAACTGAAATGATTTGAATCTGATGAGGTGGTTCTCAGAGGCCGAGACAAAGCCAGTGAGCTCAGTAAGCGGTGATGGGAGCTTTGCCTGTGGTTACTTGCTCTAAGACAAAAGCAGGCGAACCTAATCGAACGGGAGCTTTCTCCATGGCTGCTTGGGCTTCTCAGTTAATTTTTAAAAACTCTTTCATGGGTTTCATTATCCAGTAGCTTACTATATATAACCTGTGTAAGTGCACAGTAGGGGAAAAATCTGAAGATAATTTCAGACCTTTTCATTTTTAGCAGATGCGCACTGAGCTTCACACTAAGCCTATTGAAACGTTAGTCACTTTACTAAAACATTTCTGAACTCTACTTCCTTAGTAAAAAATATTTCAGTTTGGTCCATATAGACAAATTATAATTATGAAACACACAACACATTAGAAATGTGACTGAAAAATCAGAAAGCCTGTTATTGTTCATTGGATGTATGACGTTTTGACTTTGAAAATTCATCTGGACAAGGTAGTGGATGTTTTAACGTTTAAGATAATGGTATGATTTCTATTTCAAAAAAACATATACAGGTATGGGCTTATTTTGCCAAAGAAAACACAGCAGTTGCACCGTGTTTTGCAAAAACCATCAGTATTTGGGAATGATTCTGATGATGAGGTAAGGGAACCTATGTTTAACTCTTGTATTATTAGAAATACCAGATTTTTTTTTAGAATTGTGCTTGTGAATTTGTCTCTACCTTATTTGTCAGTACAGTGGTTTGGGGTCTAATTTACAGAATCTTCAAAAGGAATGTTTAAAGAAAGCTCTACCATTTTTTTTTTCTTTGTAGCTTAAGATGATTTCTTTCCCTCCCCTGTCAGAAAGCTATAAACGTAGTTACTGTACAGTCTTTTCAGACATCAGTACTTTCGCTACAGATTTATTGATACCACATTTCTAGGAATGAGTTAAGATGCCACCAATTTCCTAGACTTTTTTTTTTTTTTTTTGGTCTTTTTTTGAGACAGGGTCTCCCTGTAGCCCCAGCTGCCCTGGAACTCACTATGTAGACCAGGCTGGCCTTGACCTCAGAGATCCGCCTGCCTCTGCGTCCCTAGTGCTGGGCCCAAGTGCTGGAATTAAAAGCGTGCACCACCATGCCCGGCCGATGTTTTTCTTAAGTAGAGTCTAATGTGTTCACTGCTGTAGGGTGACTCCTCCATAAGTTATAAAACAGTTTTGTGGTTAATTCTTCAATGTCTGATAAATGTAATTGCAGTAATGAGTACGGTTAGCTTTGATAAAAAGACTGTTGGGCCAGTTAATATGTCACTTCTTTTGCTCTGGTGGAAAAATAGCTTTCAGGTTTTTCTAATTATGTAGTAGCACAGATATTTTCCTTTGCTTCGTTTGGAAAATTGGCAGTATTTAACCTCATAGTTTTTAAAAATTAAGGTTAAATTTACATATAAAATTTTCAGGTTTTATGAGCACAGATTAGTTTTGTTTTTTGAGACGAGAGCTCCATATGTAACACAGGTGGGCCTAGAACTCACTATATATAGCCCAGTCTGGCCTCAAACTCACTTCTCTTGTCCCTACCTCCCTCCAATTTCCAGGAAATAGGCATGACCATACCTGGCAAGAATTAGTTTTGTAGCTGTAGTCTATACATTTTTTCTGTGTGGTACTGCCTTTTTTAAATTGAGGCCAAGGGACACATCATATATACGTGGTTACTAACACCGATTTGGCTTATGATTTTACGGAATGTATATGCAAAAGCAATGTACAATCACTAAAAACTTACTTTGAATTTTGGTCTTCCTGGACTAGCTGTACAGTACTTTCTTGCATCTGGGCAAAGTTAATATGCCACACATGCCAGTCAGCTAGGGGATCATGAGGGTATATAACCCATCTACAGGGTACTGTATTTCGAGGTGATTAACCTTTGGGAGGCTAGATGTATTAAATATTTTTGACAGGATATTTTCAGCATATGATGGGTTTATCAGACAGTAACCCCATTATAAATTGAGGGCCGTCTGCATAGTGTTGCTTTCAACCAGTTTAGAGTTCAGTGAAAAAGGCACATGCAAACATTAAAGCAGACTGAAATTTGGAAAGAAAACTAATAACACTACTGGGGGTGCTTGTGTCATACTTGTTATACTTTGATCTTCATGATCACCTGTGATACCAGTATTACTGTTTTCAGGTAAAGAAATTGAAACTCAAATGGTTAAGTAATTTTTCCAAGTCCCACTAATAAATAAGTGGCAAGATTGGGATTTGAACGCAGAAGCCAGTGAAATGTCTCAGTGGGTAAAGGCACCTGTTACTAAGCCTGATGACTTTAGTTCATATGATAGAAGGAGAGAACCAACTCCTGCAAGTTGTCCTCTGACCTCCACTCATGTGATGTGGTATGTGTACCACACAATTATAAAAATCGGTATAGGTTGGGTGTGGTAGCACACACCTTTAATCCCAGCACTGAGAGGCAGGCAGATCTCTGAATTTGAGGCCAGCCTGGTCTACATAGCAAGTTCCAGGCCAGCTAAGTTGCAGGGACACCCTGTCTTGAAAAAACAACAACAAAAAACCCCAAAATTGATGTAATAAGCCGGATGTGGTGGTACACGCCTTTAATCCCAGAGGCAGGCAGATCTGTTTGAGTTCAAGGCCAGCCTGGTCTACATAGTGTGTTCCAGGACAGCTGGGGCTACAGGGAGACCCTGTCTCAAAAAGACAAAAAAAAAAATTTTTTTTGATGTAATAGTGAATTTTTGAACACAGGTCTATTGGATTCCCAGAACTACATTCTTTCTGTTTTTCTATCTTTATTTTAGTAGTAGAATTTTTTTAAGTGTTAATGAAATGTAGATGATGATTTTTGCTGAAGGAAAACCAGGCAGGAATAGGCATTTAAGCAGCTTTCAAAGCAGGTTTAGATTTAAGTGGATTACAAAAAGATTATGGTGGAAATCATTTCAATTGAGAAAGAACAGCAAGAAATATAGAATAGCATTAAACTATAAGGCATTTTTGTTGTGTAATGTGCTTAGATAGGAGGATGTTGAGGAAAAATGTGTTATAATGAGGTTTTTAACAGGTTTGGGCCAGATTGTGGAATATATTAAACTTTTTTTTTTTATATAAAATGTCAGCTTTACATTTGTGTTTTGTTTTGTTTTGTTTTTTAATTTTTTTGTGTGTGTTTGTACAAGTATATTGCCTGCATGTATGTGAGTGCACCCGTGCTGTGCAGTGCCTCGGAGGTCAGAAGAGGGTGTCGGATTCCCCTGGAACTGGAGTTAAGGAAGGTTCTTAGCCACCAGGTGGGTGCTGGGAATTGAACCTGGGTTTTCTGCAAGAGCAGTCAGTGCTCTTAACCACTGAGTGTTCTCTCCAACCCCTGTCAGTAGTTTTGAGTATGTCAGTGACACCATCAGACTTTTATCTTGAATTTATCTTGAGAAGGTAACTCTTGAACTGGGAAGCACAAAACGGGAAGAAGTCTGAGGTCTGAGAACCAAGAGTTTAAGGCCAACATGAGCTATACTGTAGCAAGATCTACAAGATGGGGGTGGGGGAAATGAGAGATGAGGGTTAAGGTTATTACTGCATTTGTTTATGTGTGTACATGGGCATGTGTGCCACAGTATGAATGTGGAATTCAGAGGAAAACTTAACATAGCCTGTTCTCTCCTTCCACCTTGTGGGTCCTGGGGATTGAACTCAGGTCAGGCTTGGCAGTATGTGCCTTTTATCCAGTAAGCCACCTGTCTAGCCAGGGCTAAGATTCTTTTTTTTTTGAATATTTTTTTGAATTTTTGTGTATTTCATACAGAACATCTTTTTTTTTAATATTATTTTTATTATTTTTATTTTATGTGTATGCGTGTATTGCCTGCATGTAGGTAAGTGAACCCATGTCATGCAATGCCCGTGGAGGACAGAAGAGGTTGTCGGATCCCCTGGAACTGGAGTTATGGATAGTTGTTAGCTGCCGTGTGGGTGCTGGGATTCGAACCCAGGTCTTCGGCAAGAACAACCAGTGTTCTTAACTGCTGCGCCATCTCTCCAGCCCCAAGATTCTTATTATTTAAGTTTTCTGTGTAGTTCACATAGGAGATGAAGATCTAAACCTTGATTCTCATAGGAAGCAAAGGGACTTAATAAAGGAATAAGCAGGACCTGGCAGCCAGAAGATATGTGGAAAAGGAAAGAGATAGTCAGCTTAATCCTGCTTTAAGAATTTCTTTCCTTTTAATTTTTTTATTACACTTAATTATTGTTATTATTATTATTTTGGTCTTTTTGAGACAGGGTATCCCTGTAGCCCCAGCTGTCCTGGAACTCACTATGTAGACCAGGCTGGCCTTGAACTCACAGAGATCTGCCTGTCTCTGCCTCCCAAGCGCTGGGATTAAAGGCGTGTGCCACCATGCCCTGCTACACTTAATTATTTTTTGTCAGTATGTGTGTCTAGGGTGCCACTTGACATGTCAACATCAGAGGACATCTTGTAGGAATTGGTTCTTATCTTCCACCATTGTGAGTCCTAGGAATAAAGTCATCAGGCTTGGTGGTAAGAGCCTTTAGTTACTAAGCCATTCCTTCAGTCTACTTTACCCTTTTAAATTGTATAGTTGACCAGGCATGGTGGTGCACGCCTTTAATCCCAGCACTTGGGAGACAGAGGCAGGTGGATCTCTGTGAGGTCAAGGACAGCCTCCTCTACATAGTGAGTTCTAGACCAGCTGTGGCTACTGGGAGACCTTGTCTCAAAATAAATAAATAAATAAATAAATAACCAATAAATAAATAAATAAACAAATAAATAAATAAATTGTATGGTTCATTGTTTTTGTTTTGATTGAGGTGTGGTCTCTCTATGTAGTCCTGGATGACCTATGACTTACGTAGACCAGAGATCCACCTGCCTCTGCCTCCCAAGTACTGGGATTAAAGGCATGAGCCACCATACCCAGTCAAAGCTTTATTTTTATTTATGTGCATATGTGTCTGTGTATTGGGGGTCTGTTCATGGAGGCCAGAAGAGGCATCGGATAGCCTGCATCTGGAATTATAGGTGATGTCAGCCATTTGATGTACTAGGAGCTGAATTCAAGTCTTCTGGAGGAGCAGTACATGTTCTTCTGAGTCATCTCTCTAGCCCTTGGCTTTTTCTTTTTTGGTCTTTTTGAAACAGGGTCTCCAGTTGTACAGCCATCACTATCTAATTTTAGAACATTTTCACCACCCTGCAAGATGCCTATATTCATAATTGTTCCCTCAAACCTTGGCAACCGCTCATCATTTCTGTATTATGAATTTGTCCATTCTGAAATTTCATATAAATGTAATTATGTGATGGTGGGCAATGGGGAGGTTGTATCTGATCTACTTAGAAATAATATTTTCAAGGTTGTAACGTGTATCATTACTTCACAACCTTTTCCCGTTCCCTCCTTCCCTCCTTCCTTCCTTCCCTCCCTCCCTCTGTTGTATGAGCAGAACTCAGGACGTCTCACATGGCTAATTCATTTTACTTTAAAAAAATTAATTTGTGGAACTGGAGAGATGGCTCAGTGGTTAAGAGCACTAGCTGCTCTTGGAGAGGATCCAGGTTCAATTTCCAGCAAGCTATCCATAACTCCAGTTCC